ATGTCTCAAATTACTCGGATCATGCCTCGCAAAATATTATCTCCTAAAAGAAATCTATCTAATTTTGCACTGGAATGAATCAACACTTTCTCCTTCCACCATCTCCCTAGGAAGCCTGTTCTATAGGTTTACCGCTCGCTCACTGAAATAGTGCTTCCACAGATTAGTTTTGCTCAGTCAATATTTAAAAGTGTATGTGAACTCTGTATGAAATAAGTGCTGTTTAGCATTATGGTGTAATTTTCTTGGGTGGCACTAAAATCCACTGCAGGTGTGACCCTGTGGGGCTGCTATGAGACGTTTCAGAAGCTTTTGGTTAATTGGATTTGTCTCCTCGTAATTGAATAAATTTCCATCTTTAAACCCAGTGTTCATTCCCTGCTATGCTCAACACCGAGTTAGCATCAACACCTTTAAACATATTAGACACCAGTGTTAGATAAACAAAGTAATATAAATCTGAGATTACAGCAACAATTTGCACACACATATACACACATATATATTAATAATACTGTATATTTTGGGAGCCAAAACGTGACAATCAATCGCCCACAAAATATACAGTCAATTCACTTTACAGTATATCCCGTGGAGCGCTTTGAGGCGTCTCGAAGACGTGATAAGGCGCTGTATCAAATGCGAGGATTATTGTATTATTATTATGGTGTATTTCACGTAGGGCAAAGTCTCAAATCACTTTATGGTCCCACAGAGGAAGCCTTAGCAAGTAGGGAGTAGAAGGGAATTGATCAGAGGGGTGGTCGAAAAAGCTAGGTGTTCAGAGGGAGTGAAGGGAGTGCACTGCAAAGGCTTTTTGGGGAGAGATCTAGAGAGCGGTGGCAAAGTGGCTGACAGTTTACATTGGGAACTGCGACGCTGTCTGGTTGCTTTTTGTTCATTTCACTCACGGCCCGGAGGCCGTTTGCAGCGAGAAGCTCTTTTGAAGCCGTTAATCCGGCACACATTTCAATAAAAAGAGAATGGTTACGAGGATTCCAAGTGAACAGCTTCAAAAGAAGCAGGATTCGCGGTTCAAATCTCCAAAAGCTCCTCGCAGTCAACCTGCCAACCACTTTTGGGCAAACAAACAGTTTTCTGTTAATCTACTCTTGCAGTGTCGTGAAGTCTCGCTCATTCCCCAAGATGAAGCCCCTTCCTCTTCCCTGCCTCTCGATCTCTCTCCCCCCCCCCCCCCCCCTCTCTCTTTTTCCCTCCTCCCCATTTACAATGCAAAATTGAATTTGTACAGCGCCTTTCACATTGGGAGGACGTCCCAAGGCCGAATTCGTTCACACGTCACCCCTTCTCTGTTCCACCATCCATCAATCAAACGGGGTGGGCCTTGTACTTTTCGACAGCTCGTTGATCCGCGCACCGCCATGGCGTAGAGCATAGGGACAGGAGGAGGCCATTCAACCCCTCAAGCCTGTTCCGCCATTCTATTAAATCAAGGCTGATCTGTACCTCAACTCCAATTAATCTATTTACACAACTTTTACGCCCCTGTCAGTTACTTGCAAATGGCAAACACATCTCTTACTCCACTGATTTTTTTTTACAGTGTGAATGTGCAGCCAATATAGCTGTTTGCCTCCATGACTCTTCCCCTTATCATGAACGCTCCCTGCCCTTGAGGGTCATCAGATGATCTGCTCAAGGCTTTCTCCAGAATTACTGCCCCCCCACCTCCCCCCACCCCCACTTTTCTCGCCCTACTCCCAGGAACGACATTTTCAAAGCAAGCTCGTGTTCAACTTCTAAGCAATCAAAAAAGGTTGGCTGGTTGGGTTGATAAAGCTTTTGCTATATTTAGCAGGCGACATTAATAATATAACCGTGCCGAGGGACATAATGGAATGAATGAGGCCGTATCTAGTTTGGTTCTCGGGCGGTGCAGTAGCAAGTGGTTAAAATTAGCGCTCTCCTATGTCAACGTGAAGCTGAAAGGCAAATAAAATTGGTCAGTTCGCTTCGCGGGCTGTTTGTGGGTCACTACTGTGAGCAAATTGATATTGTGTTTGTCTACAACAATAACACGGTCACTACACTTAACGGTATATCCTGCAAAACGCTTTGAGTTGTCCTCTTGACGTGAAAGACGCTATAAATGGATGTTGTTTTTTTTAAAAAAGAATTAAAATCTCTTACTGGGAATCCTTTTACAATGGGCTTCGTCCAAATGGCCAACTACAACAGGGGGGAAGGTGAAGAGTATTTAAACCGCTATGGGTTAAATGTGAGCAAAGGAACGTGTGATTGGGTGTCTATTGCCACAGGTAGGAGAGGAAAAGGATGTGACTGACAAGCCCTTCACTGACAAGTGACTTCATCAACACAAAGTAATTAATTGTAGAAAGAAACCCACCGAAAAGTCTCACTGCACTCAAGCAATTACAGTCAAGTGCTCTGACACGCTATCCTGTGCGAAGGGCGCTATTTAACCCAAGAAACACTGCACAACTAGCCCTAATAAATCAACTAATGTCAAGTGGGTTTCGTTGTCAGCAGGACATGGATTACTTTGGAAAGTGATTTGTTTTAACAAATAAAAACCCAACATTTAAAACCAATTTTTGTGCCTCTCCCTCTTCCCTCCCCTCGCCCATCACATCTTGGACCCAGCTTCTGGAAAAATCCATGGGGACGAATATATCTGAGCAGACATTCTGTGCCCAAAGTAAATGGAAAAGTTAACTGCATATGTCTGAGGAATAAATTGGCACAACAATGGCATGTAAAGTATTGTAGACTGAAGCAAGGTTAGAATATTACATTGGCAACTAGAATGGCCAGCTGGACTTATTTTGCTGGAGGAATTCCATCAGCAAACAAAGAGAGGCTTAAATAGACTGTGCTCTGAGGAGCCACAATGCCAATAATTTGACATTTGTACAGAGCCCTTCATATTGTGTGTATTTGTGTGGGCTGCAGGGGGAAGAGTAACTTCTGAAAGTGGTTCACAGAGCTGACCACGAGCCTGAGCTGGGGGGGGGGGGGGGGGGGGGCAGGGGTGGGGGGGGGGGGTGGGAAGGTGACCAAACGTGTGGTCAGAAGGAAAGGTCTTAAAGTAGGTTTTAAAGGTAGGGGCGGGGAACAAAGAGGATAGGAGCGAGATTTTACAAATTTAAAGGTGTTTACCAAAGACATTTGCTTTAAGAGGGTTTATTCTATCTCAGTTGGTTTCTCTGGTGCAATGGGAGCCTTGTTTGAGATCAGACAGAGACCAGGAAGTATTTCCTGACCCAGAGGATAATTAGCGTCTGGAACAGGTTACCAGAAAGTGGTGGTAGGAGACAGGTTACTGAGTCTGAGACGCAGCTTGCTGCTGCAATGGGAGGACAGTTAGGTGGATATTCTGGAAATTCAATGGACCTTCTTCATCTAATCCAAATTCTATTGTGATTCTGTGACCTATTGGTTAGGAGGGAAATAATGACAGCTAATCATCCTTGCATTTGATACAACAACTTTCACATTAGGATGTTTCAAAGGATTTACTGTAAAGTACATTATAGGTGAACAATTGAGTTATTGCAATTGTTTGTTAGGAGGGCAATAAATTAATTATTAATTACACTAGGCCCTTGTCTCTATCTAATAATAACAATTTGATATAGTGCCTTATCAAGTCGTTGAGACGTCTCAAAGCGATTCACAGGCTTTATAATAAAGCAAACTGACTGTGTGTTTTGTGGGCAAAACGCATCTACGTCATGCACTACAGCGAAGCCTACAGCATCATGACCTCTCTTTTCCCCGGGATAGTATTTTAAGAAGTCTTGCGCGCTCACAAACTACAGGAGACGGTCAAGCATGTGGAGCTTTGTGGCACTGCAGACAATTATATCCCAAGCGGTGGAAAAATACTCCCGGCCATGCCGCGTGGTTCACAGTCTGTAGCTGGCAGGCTTCACAAAATGTTATATTGTTCAGTGGGGATGAAAGAGGCAGAATCGCACATTTCCTACCTGAATTAAACAAGAGTTTCGCACTTTTCGAAACAGCCTCGCCCAGTCGCAGTGAAAGCACGCATTACATCCAACTGCTCACTCAGTCCACGACTGTTTGTAAAACCCTGCTGTGCGCAATTGGCTGCTGTGTTTCGCCCATAAAATATACAGTCAATTCACTTCACAGTATATGCTGTGATGCGCTTTGAGGCGTCTCGAAGACGTAATAAGGGGCTACATCAAATGCAAGGGATTATTACTAGTAGTGTTATTATCCAGTCTTCTAATGGAGTGTGAAGCTCGTGGGACGTATCAGACATCCTTCGGATGAGGTCGCCTCTGCCTGTTCAGGGGGTTACGTGAAGACCCCACGGCACTAGCGAAAAGAGAAGGGAGTTGCTCCCTCCTTGTGTCATGCCCAACAATTCCCCAAATAAAAATTGGTGATTTGTTCCATCGCTGTTTGTGGGGCATTGCTGTGTGCAATTGGGCTGCCGCGTTTGCCTACAACTACACAAGTCACTTTATCCTGTGAAGAGCTTTGAGACGTCTTTCCGACCTGCTAAGGCGCTGTACCAAATGCAAGGAAATGCATGGATTATTTCTCACTTCCGGATAACTACAGAAAGAGTGGCACATCCCGTTTGCTCTTGTTCTTTGTAACTTTACTCTGATCCCTTTTCCTCGCTACAGTATTTAGAAAATAAATGAATGAGTTGTTTAGCCTGTTCTCACTTTAACTTCCTTTGAGGTCCTTGTGTAGATCTCGCCAAATCCCTCCACGCTCTTGTCCCACTCCACCTCTGCTACTCCCATCCAGCCACACTCTCCTGCCTCCCACTCCACCACTGGTTCTCCACAAACTGAAGCCTGTTGCTTGTCCCTCTCGTCCTCCCTGCACCTTGTGCCGCTCTCCCTGATCTCATGGCCTCTTACGTACCTACCTCTGCGATAGGCCTTACAAGTAATATCATCATAATGCCCTCCGCTCCTTTTCCCACTTTGCTCAGTCATCTACCCTGAGCTCCTTGAGCCTTCAGCCCTTACCTGAAAGCCTCCACTGGGAAAGCTGTTGTAGTCAGAAAATGTCTCGGTGAATATGAAACGCTAAAAGTCCAGTAAACCACAACATTTCATTAGTTTTGTGGGCCCGAAGGAACTTCCTCTGAGGGCAAAAAGGGTTTCCGTGCTTTGAATGGAGCCAAAGTCCAAAGGAAACCGAATTCCTCAGCGCTGACTGTACAAACACTGCCTCCAGCTACGATACTCCCATTCAGTGGCGGGTCCTAGGCAAGATTATGAAAGAAAAGCCATTGATGAAAAATAAGGGAGTGGTAGAATTCAGACTTTTTCTTAAGGTTCCCCCAGGGTTGCTGATCATTGAATATCTAAGCCTCATTCGCTCCTTTCTCTCTGTACATTTCTTCAGTTGAAACAAAGCATTTTGAGGATCACCAATGTCGCAAACGCAAGGAAACAAAAGCAAAGCTACTGTCGTGCTTTTTCTGCAAGAGGCTGACTTACTTACGAGCCCAAGACTCCGAGAATGTCTGAAGAACCGCTTCACGAACGTTTTATGAAAATTGTGGCGTCTACGGATTTGGAGATCGACAACAACAACAAAATTACATTTGTCTTGCCGCTTTCATGTTGGGAGGACGTCCCAACACAACAAGTTTGCACCTTTCGGAGAGCGATGGCGTTGATACAGTGGGTTAAACCATTGGGCCCCTCATAACCCATTCAATGCCTGGAATATTACGCTACCAGCTGAAAAATACCAAAGTCCCTCTCTCATCGCTGCTTAGAGATTCTCTGTGTTTCGGATACCACCCCACCCACCACCCCCCCTCCCTAGGGCAGGTCAATGCTATCGCTCTGATGCGTGATGGCATCCGTCTGATACAATGAACACTGTATTCCTCGCCTCACAGCTGCAGGAGGTATCCCAACATCTGGAGCTCAGGTGGTGCTGAGCAAAGCAAACCCTGTTTAATCAAGCCTTCCACTCCATCCACACTACCGTGTTTTGACTCCCCCACCCCCACCGCCGTTCCCTTTTTACTTTCAATTTCCTGCCACTTTATTTGGGTTGGACATTTTTTTTTTTTGCTTTTGAAAAGTTTCCCTTTTTGAACGACCGCCTAACTTCAAGAAAACCTTTACCACAGTTCAAAAGCAGCGCAGGCTTTATAAGTTCCAGATGCGGCAAAGTATGGGAAGCATGAGCAACTGAAATAGCTGGGGAGCGGAATATTTATTGAAAGGGAGGGCTATTTTTAATACAGAGAGATTTCCTCAAATACACATTCTTAAGCATCAAACGGGAGCATAAATAAATACACAGAGCTCCCTCACACATCAGATTCTTCGTGCAGTATTTCACACCAACCTCCTTCCTCGCTCCACCTGTATGAACGTTAGCCGGACTTCTGTCACTGCAGTTAAATTGCTGTGAATGTTTTTTTCCTTGCTTCCTACACATCTGCATTGAAGGTTTGAAACGCATCATGCTGACCTTATGAAGCAATCATCTGTAATAATAAACAATAATGATCCTTGCATTTGATACAGCGCCTTTCACGTTAGGACGTCTCAAAGCGCTTCACAGGATTTGCTGTGAAATGCAGCGATGGTGTATGTTGTACAGCGCTTCGAGGCACTATCCTACATGGACAACAACAACAACTTTTATTTATATAACGCCCTCCACGCGGGATAGCGTCCCGGAGCGCTATTTGAAGAGCACGATATAAATCCAAGTTGTCGTGGGCAAGTTGCAAGAAGTGAATGGCCAATTTCATCTGGTGTGCGTCTGTGTATATGTTTGTGTGTGGGCGCATGTGTGTGTGTGGGGGGGGGGGTTGAGGGGTCAGCTAGGAGGATAGCATGAGAATACTGTATTGCATGGGATTTTTAAAGTCCATCCCCCCCACCCCCGCACTCTGTTGTAAGCACCTAAGCACGTTCAATGTTAAAACGGTCAAAATATTAACAACAAGAAACCTCTTTCACGTTGGGAAGATGCCCGGCCCAAAGTGTTGGCGCTGATATCTGATTAGAGTGGTTCACTGGTGACTTTAGGAATGGCTTTACTGGAACTGTAATGTAGGAAAATGTGGGAATTGTTTCAAAAAAGTTAAAATCAAAGCAATTTGTTGGAGAGAGTGCACAATGACTACTCAGATTGTCTAAACCGGATGCCCACCCCCATAGCGGCATTTGGTTTTCAGTATAATTAGATGTCTATTAATCCCTTGAGGCTGCAATTTCAGAGGAATGGATACATTAAAATAGGAATTAAAACCAGTTCAGTGACCGAGACAGAAACATTCTCGTCAAGCTTCATTCTGTTGACAGGAGAGACTCCTTTGAACAACTGACAGATTATTTCTCCCAGTCTGATTTTCTTCACGCCCTACAGATACAAGGTACATTTGGCTGTATACTCTCACACCCCTTTCATCCAAAAGTAATCTTTCCACAGTCTGATTCCCTGAAAATAGACAAGTGTCTGCAGACTGTGTAGATGGGAATTAATCCAGCTCTCTTATTTTGACTAGAAAAGATAAGGATTTGGCAACAGGACTGAAAATAGACGGATGCAAAGGCAGCGAGTAACAGGTTGATGTACATCAAACGAGGGCGGTATAAGTTGATCAGTTATTTTTATTGGTCGTCCATATTAGATTGTATCAAGCAAAATTGGCTGTGGATAAGACATCTGAAAGACGTCAACATGCGGTTCACACTTTAGGACCTGTCCTGCTGCCAACCATTCTGGGGCACCATCAAGGAGTAACTTGCGGCAGTCTTTTGATATTCAAATCAAGCTGGAGGCTTGCCCGACTTTTCCGGGCAACTTCAAAGGTAGCTTTCTCTCTGCATAATCGGACCGAAGCTATTAAATGTCTGGCTTTAGTGAAGCACCACTTTGCAACACTGGCACTCACTCATCTGACCAACCGCCCTGAAAAGCCGAACTATAATAATGATGATAATAATAATAATCCTTGCATTAGATATAACGCTCTCTCATGTCACTGAGACCTCTCAAAGCGCTTCACAGACTATAGCATGAAATAGTTTGACTGTGTATTTGTGGGCGAAACTTTCTTGTTCCCTGCAGCACAAGCCGGGTGTTATTCACAAGAGAGAGTGAGTGTGGGTGAAGATTGCTGCTTAATAGAATACATTAGAATGTACAGCACAGAAACAGGCCATTCGGCCCAATTGGTCTGTGCCGGTGTTTATGCTCCACATGAGTCTCCTCCTGCCCTTCCTCAACTAAACCTTCAAGCATAACCTTCTATTCTTCTCTCCCTCATGTACCTATGTAGCTTTACCTTAAATACATCAATGCTATTTGCCTCAACATCTCCTCGTGGCAGCACGTTCCACATTCCCACTACTCTCTGTGTGAAGAAATTTCTTTTAACTTCCTGATTTGATCTATTGGTGACGATAACCCCTCAGTTCTGGGATCATCCTTGTGAATCTCCTTTGCAAGAATTCATATTAAAACATCGCAAACGTGTGTTCAGTGCAAAGCACAGAACAAAATAACAACCCAATTTGGTGGGGGACGGGGACGGGGGGAAATGAAGAAGAGAGAAAATTACTCTCTACATTTCCACCAGTCAATAATTCATATTCTACATCTACTTTCCAACCCCCAACTAATTATACCCAGTACTTCTTTTAAAAAAAGAAAAAATTGATGGAAAACGGTAACAAAATATTCATTACTCCCACTGCTCCCTCCTTGAACCATTGCACAGTAAGACACGATTGGAATAGCCAAGGCATATATTATGCAGATTAAATTTTTGCTTGTCCTTGCCTTGGGCACATGCATAATACATGAGAGGAAGAACATCTCAGTGTTCTATTTTTTTTTATGCACGGCTAATTGTCCCCGATTTTCACCTAAATTTAAGAAGCAATTAATGGTGAGCGAAGACCAGAATATTTTTAATGGACACAATTAGCAATGCAACGGTTTTCACTTACTGCTGGCAATTCACTTTCTTTTTATAAAACCCACACCTAATTTCAAATCGTGTGGTCGCATCCACAGTCCAACTTAAAGCTGCTTCTACAAAATACAACTACTGTACTGTATCAAGAGGTTTAATCTCTGAAGATTTTTAACACTTACAAGAAGGCATATCCGCAGGCTGGTGGCATAACCTTGTGCTATTTTTTTATTTGTGGCAGCTACGTCCCTACACCTCTGATATGGATTTGCTGCCAAGCTCTTAAGGAAGGCAATTGTGCAATGATTATAGTAACTAATAATGGTAATAATAATCCTTTTGCATTTGATCCAACTCCTTATCGCATCGTCGAAACATCTCCTTTCTGGGTAGAGGAGAGTGTTAATTTCTCCTCTCTCTAACTGATCAATCCCAGAAAACAAATACGATTTTTTAAAAAAAAGTGCTTAGACGGCACCCCAGAGGCAAAAACATACATTTAACCAAAACAACGTACAATAAAACAGATGGCATCAGTCTGGTTGGAAGAAGGCAATTCTACTTACCTGCAGAGTGGAACACCATCTACTGGTCAGACCCTTCCTTCAATAATACTATTGGGTTCAATGCTTCAGTGGACGCCTGAGCTCAAGGTCTTAGCTCACACTCCTGCCTTGCTGGAGCTTTTGTCCTTTCAATAAGACCTTAAACCAAGGTCCCATCTGGCTGGTCCTCCAACAGGCATTCAAGATCATTACTCTATCCGAAAAGAGATGGGAATGTCTCCCGGTGTCCTGCCTAACAGTCCTCCAGATAAAATTGGCCATTCACCTCAGGGCTGACATGTTATTAGTGCCTATTAAAAAAAAGTCACTACACATGATGATATCACTATGCTGTGAAACACTTTTGAGAGATTACAAGGCTATAAAATATCTGCAATTATCAAACCGCTTTCAAGCGTAAGGGGCTAGTGAAAAACTATTTGATCTTACTTAAGAAAATTGGTGCAATTAAAGTCTGAGCGAAATTGGTCTCCCGGGGGCCAGAACGCAGTGGAAGTTTTTTTTTTAAACTCCTATTTATTCCAAGATGTGAACCCATCTGATCGTGGGAACGGCGCCCCATAATTTCCGTTGTTGTACACTTACGTAGGCTGCATAGTTGTTGGATTATATAAGAATATTCAGCACACCATCCAAGTCTCCCACCTCT